TAAATATAGAACCAAACTGCCCCCAAAGGAATCTGAAGGTGATAACAGCACAGAGAAATGCCTTCCTCCAACAAATCACACCCAAGGGGTACCCACATGCCGCACGCTGGGCCACACCAGACCTGGTTGCACTTCCCCTGACTGTGGCCTCCTGCTGCTGGGACTGCGGCCCTCAGGATCAGGTTTACAACAATTCCTTCTCCTCCTTCCTGTCAACCTAGACAAAAGGTGAAGATAGCTTTTAGAAAAGCTATTAAAACTGTCTGTCAAGGTGTCATTTCTCTGTGATTACCAGGATTAAAAGCGAGGGGTAGCATGCAGCACTGGCTAGCTTCCTTGCCTGTGGAAGAGACAGTAAAAATTCACATTTTGAAAAAAGGCAAAATGAGATCTGAAGGGAGGGAAATCAACATTTTAGACAGCATTTTCTTTCCACTTCACAAGGAGCCGTAAGCAAATAGATATTTGGAGTGACTCTTCCAGGATCTTTACGCTAACCCTTCCAATCACTTCGGGCTATTTGCAGCTGGGACCCAGTTTAATCCAAATGGGTTCTGGCAAGAGACCTTGTTTCTGTGTGCCTGGAAAGCTCTGAAACACTGATAGAAATGCAATGAGAAACAGCAACAACTGAACAGGGAAATCCAAATCCCTTTATTTGGCTTTATCTTATTTAATGGATATCATCTAATGGATATAGCTCACTTAACCCCTTAATGATCTGAAATTGCAAGGCAATGGGATTCAAAAATGAAATGAAAATAGTGTAAAGAACCAAGAAATACCAGGTGACTGGAGAGCCTGTAATGGGATTAGTGTGCATCGAGGTACTTTTGCAGGGCTCAGCTACTCCAGTTTGTGAGCATTTGGACTGCTGGGAGGAGATAAATCATGGCAGGGTCTAACGAGGAAAAAGAAAATGAATCCCATGTGAAGGAATGAAAACAAATAAATAACTGGGAATGAGAATCTGAGGAGGGCTGCAAGAAATATGGGGTGAGACAACACACCAAATTAGAGCTAAATTTGCAAAATAGTGGGGCTGTAATATATGCCAGTGCAATTTTGTGCTGCATCCATAGGTACAGGGAAGATATTGCAGTTCTGTTTGTTTCTGAGTTGACTAGAACCTGTGTTCAGTTTGGATGATCTTGTTATGAGAAGATACTGGCAAATATCAATACCAGAAAAAAAAAAAAAAAAAAAGAGAGAGAATATGATCAGAACATTGGTGTATGAGGAGAGTTTATTAAAGTCACTAAAAATGCTCATTTGTTTAATGCATGAATGTGATGACCCTAACCTGGAAATGCCTGAGCAGTCTAACATGTAGCCTTATAGCAGGATAAATGTAAGAAGAATGAGAAAAAATGCAGAAACGCTGCAGAAAGGGAAACTCTAACACTGAGCGTCAGGGAAAAGAAAAGAGTAGATAGCTTTGCTGGACATGACACAGCCTCTTAAGGCAACCTCTCCTCACGCAGTGCTGTTGAGTAAGGCACATTTTGTAGCAAGCCAATCTCCCTTTGCTAGGAAGTCAGCTGGAACCGAGGATATGGCTGTGGCCTTGAACATGACAAACAGAGTCACATGCAGCTTCGTGGAGACGATGAGCAGATGGGACAGTGTCTCTGACTGCTTGGGTATCAAGCCCATGCGCTCTCTGTTGCCAGGAGGTTTTTCTGGCTAAAGTTGGTCACCAGAAGGCACTTCTTCCCGTGCTTCTGATTTCCCAGCTGGCCCGTACAGAGAGGCACCCTCCCATCTTCTGCATTTTCTGGAGCAGTGTCTGGGGGCCCACATGGAGTGAGCATCAGGATCCTTTTCCACTGTCGATACCAGGCCTGGGGAAGAGGATGTGGGAGATCACAAGTACTGATTTGTTTTTCATCCTGGAGTCAATGAGATCTTACTGGGTGCCTGCCACTACCTCCTACCTCAAAGCAAGTCTTTGTTCCATCATGGTCCTGAACTGAAAACAGCTGGAACATAATTGCTTAATAAGAACTGTTTGCTTTGAATCTCAGTAATTTAAAACACTCAGTTTCTATGATCCTAGAAAGACTGTGTTTTTCCTTAAAGGAATGATGGGGATAAACTATGTGGTCTTGTTCACAGCAGATGTATTTAGCTACGAACATAAACTTATGTCTCTCATTATCTCATGACAGGCCTCCTCAGATACGTATCTGGGAATAAAAGATTCTTTCTACCCAGATCAAACATCCTCGTGGAGAAATGCCCTCACAAATGGTGTTTGTTTAGGAGATATAAGTACAACGTCTCTGGTCTGCCTAGGCAGGTTTAAGAGAGGCTTGAGGGGGTTGGAAAGCAGTCATTTAGTGCTTTGCCAATACTAGAAAACTTGATATTCCTGTCCCAGCATCTGCCAGGAGGAGGGAGCCCTTGCCAGAGGCAGTGATGGAAAAGCACTTTTATTGGTGGTTTTACTGGCTGGTCATGCAAATCTCCTCTGATCAGGTTTCACTGCTGTGAAGGTTTAGCGCTTGCAAGCCCAGCTCGCAGGAGGTGCGGGTTTAAGCGGCGCAGCGGGCGGCAGCCTCTCCTCGGCGTGAGCGGCGATGCTGCGGGGGCGGACCCTGCGCGCGGCCGCACAGCTGCGTGTGGCCCTTCCTCCTGGTCTGCTCTCCTGCAGGCCTGGGCAGCGACGCCAGGACGTGATACTCTCTGCTCTAGCAATGGGCTGGCTGCATGACTGGCAGCGTGCTGGGATCGGGAAATTTCAGGTCCTCCTGCTGCCATCAAGGGCCAGATGATTTGCAAGACACAGTGCCATGGGTGAGCACCATCATGACAAGTGTCCCTTTCTCGCCTATCATTGTGGGCTGCATGACTGGCAGCGTGCTGGGATCCAGAAATTTCGGGTCCTCCTGCTGCCATCAAGGGCCGGATGATTTGCAAGACACAAGCGTCCCTTTCTTGCCTATCATTGTGCGAAGATGACACTCCCTCACTCCCACGAGTGTTTGGGGTTAAATTAGCTATTTTTAATACCACCTGGCCGCTCAATACAGTCTGAGAGGGTTCCTCTGCATCAGAGACCAGGACGACGAGCGATGGCACTCACAAGGAGACCCCGATATGGCTCCCCCGAG